TTTTAACTAAAAGCATAATTTTTAATATATTTTTTCTATTAAATAAATTTCAAAAAATACGTGTCTTTAATGTAACGTCTATAATTTAAGGATTATAGCAATATATGGAACTTATTCGTTGTAATGTAAATCGACAATATTAACTTAATTAAATCGCACAATATTTACATGTTGCCCTTTTTAACATTATATATAGCTTACTTGAGTTGTAAAAAAATTTGCAATGTAAATCAAAAAATACATATTTATTGCATAATAGTTACAATAAGCAATTTCAAATGTTCATTTGCGATTAAAAATTGATTAAAATTCCACAGTTTAAATGACTTTAAACGACGTCCGTTTCGTTTCCATTGCCTTTTATTACCGGCGAAACTTGGGATTGTTTTGATTTAACCATGCACACGTATCTGCAAAAACACCATTTTTTTTCATCCTTTTGCGTCTCAATATTCCCAAAGATACTTTACGTACCGGTGGACAAACGACAAAGTCGAGGATGGAGGAAGTGTTTTTGCACGCGACTACGCGAGGCGACCGCGTCTCAACGCCAAAGTCACGTACGCGTCGCGTCGTCGCGACAATTTGCAAAAACTGGACGTTTTGTAATAAATGTACTGATTCTTGGCCTTTTTTCTTTAATTCTCGTTTAGCAGGATAACTGTCCGCTTGAACTTTATTCAGATTCCATTTGCTTAATACTTGTAGCTCGTCAAAGAGCTTTAAGGACTACGAAATAATCGATAGATGAAGGAATAGGGAAATTTTGTTTTTCATTTATATTTATTCATTCATAAAAAAAAAATAAATAAAATATTTATACGTATTTCATCAATAATTCTTATAGTATATAAAATATGAAATAAAACTATGAAATAAATTAATGTTTGTTTGTCTGCTTTTTTTCGACGACCTGTGTCCATGTTAATGTTTCTATTTTTTTTTATTATATATATATTATAAATATATTATATTATATATATATATATATGTCAATATTAGATATTTTTTGGATTAAAATACTGAAAAATAACTTTGCTTGTTAAAATTGAAAGTTCACTATAAAAATGAAATAATGAAGTCTTATAGTTTTATCGAAATAGATACGTATAAAAATGTATTTTTCTGCTTTATTATACGACCAAAGATAGTTTTATATCGTTATAGGAAATATGAACTTTCTAATATAATCTGTATTTCATGTTTATTCAAATATAACTTTTGATAAAGCGTAAAATTACTTCAAAAGTTTTTAAAATTTATATCCGTACAATAAAGGAACCTATCAGATTAATAGATAATCTATATTTAATCTCGTTATGCGTACATAACGATAAAGGAAATGTATGATGTAATGCCATTATCATAAAGGGTAAATATTTTCGCGTCAAAAGCATCTACTATTAAATTAAAGAATTATGTAATTAAAATAATTTTGTTATTTTTGTGAGTTAAAAATTTACGTAATAGAACATCCAGATTTATTCATTAATTATGAATTTTTTGTAATATTTACAAACTATTGTGCTTATAGTTTTAAACACTTGTAAACTTATTATATTTAACATAATATTAGTATTGTACAATGTATCTGTGTCTATAATTTTGGAGGTTTTCCACATGTATTTATTATAGAATACAAGCGCATATCCCCATGTAGAACATGTGGAGTACTTTACTGTAAACGTTCTACATTAAATTCTATTTTAAATTGTCTTTGACAGAAGAGAGTATTTTATTATCAAATAAAAACGAAGCTAATTACATATAACATATAACTATAAATTTATAATATTATTCTATGTGGATAAATAATATAAATAATACAATTAGTTATTTATAAAAAATATGTAGCAATTCTGTTTTTGCATTTTTCATATTTATATATTTAAATTTTAAACTTCAAATAATTAAAGCAAACATGAGTGTCATAATAGATACAGAAAAAACATTATAAAATACTGAAATTATTTAAAAGAACACGCTGAATTATTACAAGATTATTAGCTATAAATTTTATACGGATAAGTAAAAGAAAGTTGTCAATTATTAAAAAATCTTTTAATTTAACAAACAAAAATCTGAACTTCGCATGATATTACATATTAGTTTTTTTTTAACGTATAATGAAATGAAGGGGATTACCGAGTTCTTGTGTGCAGTGTTCTGTAAAACTTAGACATTAAATTTTAAATCATATTTTAAAGTGTGAATATTACAAGATTAACGTAATGGAAACTAATTCCGTAGGGTTTATATGAATGATATGTATAATGAATAAAAGGAGCATATTTCGTAGACTACCCAGTGTTTTGGAAAAGATAGAAAATTCCATAAAGTTATTGGCTTATACTGATATCATAAAGCTAATTTGTTGCTATTGTAATTAATCGATATGATTTATGATTCTCATGGATCTTTTTTATGTATTTATTATTGTTTTGTTTTGAACACGATATATTTTATGAACTAATTAGTTATTGTATTGGAACAGTAATTACGAGAATGAAGGAATCTCGATATAAATTTCAACCTTCTTGGTGGGAACGCGTGTGTAATCGTACATTCGCGTACGTATTGCGTTGCTCGTGATATTATATTACTATGATTGATATTTGTGATTGACGGATACGTGTTGGACTTGCATCAATTGCATTGCTTTTTAAGAACGTTAGGCCGAGCGCCACGTAACTTTGCCTCGTAGCTTAAGCATGCGATGGGTTTTTGGCCGATGGTCCAGCAGGAGAACAATGGGCTGCGAAAGGATTTGTGCGGTTTTTGTCCGTGGTAGATCCTTAGTTATTTGGTTAAATAACTTGCTTGAGTTGAGGGAATGCGGAATGGAGCGTGTACTATGCGACAGTATGCGCTCGCTTCCCAACCTAATGGCATTGATTCGATAATTTCTCGTGTTTCCAAAAGTCTGGTTTCCTTTTGCGCAAAATAAAGCAAGCAGAGCAGCGAAATATATTATAACTCGAAAAATGTTTGATTATTCCTCTAAATGTTATTATTAATCTGAAATATATGGAGTCGATATTATACATTTATTTCAATTATTATAATGGTCCGGATGTGCAACGATATGATCGCGAGTGATCTTAATTTGCAAACGGCTTTATGTTCACGACCGATAGCACATTGAGCTTTATATTACGAATACTTAAAATTCCTTATAAATATATGTTGAATCAATTGCTCGAATAATGAAAGGGAGATTTTAGGATCGAATCAAGGATTATTGAGTCTCATAAAGCGCAATCTCTCAATTAAATAACATGTAGCCAACCATTACACGTAAAACTTGAATTCTTTTGAACGCGTTTTTACTTGATGAAGCACGAATAGCATTCGATCGCTTTGGTGACTGTTTTGACCTCTGCAGTGATTTTTCTCAGTATCCCTTTGGTGCTGACAGCGAGTTAACGTATTTGAAACTGGTATGCTTCTACCCCACTTTCCTCTATAGACGATAGAGTTTTGCGTAATTATGGAGAATGGAAAAGTTTAAAGTGAGACTGGAAGTGTGCATGACAAAGAGACGAGAAAATGATATAAGCATCGCGACTTTCGTGTAATTGAATCTGGCTAACATTGATATAGCGTCCGTCATTTTAGAATAGTTGGTTATTTATGCATGAATGAGTAAACTGAATCATTGCAAGTTAAAGTTTGATCGTGAAAGTGAAGATTTGGTCAAGCATCGTTAGCAAGTATATTATTAATACGAAGTCTGCCGCGACTGTGTCCCATTCAAAACGAACGACTTAATCTATTTATTGTTCAATCTTGATGGAAATTGTAATAAATACTTACTTTTCCTCGATGCGAAATTAATAATTCATTGAAATTTTCACTCTTATAGCGAAAGCAGTAATGTATTTACCGTAAGCTTTTATAATATTATCGCATGGAATACAAAATATATAATATGCATTTACTACGAATGCTAAAGTTTTTCATGGACCAGAAAACAATAGCCAACGTCATTGAAAGGAAAAAACGTAACAAGAAAATAATATATATTTTTCATAATGGCATTATTAACTTTTTACCTTCTACCTACTATTGCATTTTCGAGCCATTAAAAAGTTAGGATAGGGAACATTTTTGAAGTTATAGAATGAGGACATTAAAGAGTTGCGCACTTGACTTCTTCTTGTTTTTTTTCTCTCTCCTTTTACACATTAAATATTTTTTCGCGACGCGAATCGAGGGCAAATCAGTAGGGCGGCCAGGAGGCTGGAAGATGGAGCATCTAAAAACGGGTTTGGCCATTCGGACGCCGGATATCGTTCGCTTTGGCGCATCGCCAGATCTTGCCGAGTGATAATTTACGGTAAGCTCAAGCGGACTCTAATGTCCTCGACCGTCGGCATCGAGCGAGATAGAAAAGGGTCGGAACAACTAAATCGAGCATTCGGGGACTTTCGATAATTTTTACGTAAGGACTGACAGGGCCGTCAAACTATAAACCATCATCGCTATGCACTACTGCGCCCGTGACTAAAGCCATCGACACCGCTACGATCGATGCTTCTTTGCGTCCATTTATCCATATTTGCATCCGATAAATCATTTTCTCGTACGCTTTATGCTCTTAGTTGATTCCCTTTGATCACGCAATTCTCTACGTTTAACATAGAGGCGCTTATAAATGACAAGTTCTTTCAATATATCTTTCGAGCTTTCCGGTGCATTTGAAATTTCAATCATTTTTATCAACAATTAGCCTCTGTATTTTACGATATTAATAATTACTCGGGATGACCTAACTTATTTTTAATATTAACAATTAGATTAAAAAAAGATAAGATAAGATTAATATTAACAAAAGATGTTATTTTTAGATTTGAAATTATTTAACCGTAAGGTGCTTTTAAATGAAACTCCAATAGTAAGTACGAGCGAGCAATCTGCCTGAATACAGAATTGAAAAATAGCGTCAAAATAAAGAAAAACAATGCACTTTGAAGTAGCAGTAGTAAACATTAACTTACGGAGTTGATATAGTTGATTAGAGATAATCCGCCATCCCATGGATGCTCGAGCTCGCAAGAAATATTCATTGGCCTTAAAGCGTGGGATTGTTCCAATGTTCTTAAGCCTACGGCGAATACTTGAACGCTGTCGTACATTAGGGCGGGTTCTGCCTAAAATCAAGTATTACATTACCGTGACTTATTTTCTCGCTGCTGCTTGTATCATGCTGCTTTAATAGTAAAACAAGCCAAGTATCTCAATTAATATAATAATAAAGACATTTCAGATATTTAAAAAAAGAAAAAAGGAAAAAAAGAACAAAAAAAAACAATTCACAATAGATAGTATGCCCATGGAAAATTAAGTAGCCTTTCTCACATCACCATAAAGAGTAGGAAGTCAAAAGTCAGATTTCGCATTTTTTATATTTACCTGAGTATAAAGCTTTCTTTGGGTTTAAATTGGCTGGCGGGCACTTACAGGCATATAAAGGGAAAAAATGGACAGGTTAAGATTGTAATTGTACATAAATAAAAGCATGATAAAGTATATGTTCATATATTTACATGATTTTTTACGAAATAGAAAGAAAAAAAAGAAACTACAAATAGAACTAAAAATAAGGTACGTGTCTGGGAAGGTCTTGAACTCATCTAATTTTGTGTTCAACGTTAAGAATGAGGCAACGACGTTGTTTTCTTAGATATTTTCCTCCTTAACGTCTTTCGCTTCTTCTTCTGCTTCTTCTTCCTCTTCGTTGCCCCAACATTTCTTTTCCCTTTCTTCACATTTTCTTCCTCTTTGTAGCTTAATTCATTTCGCTATCTCACTTTCTTTTAAACTTCTTTTCGCCAAGTTCGTTTGCCCTGAAGGATAAGTCTCTTTATTTTCTACCGTTTTGCTTTCCGGAAAGCGGAAAGTAAGTTATGGATAATCCTTAAAAAGTTAAAAAGGTTGAAAAATCTAGAATCTCGAAAAGATAACGAATGTCGTGATTACATACGATTCGAATTTCTTAATTTACTTATTAAATGAGTGAATGAGTAAATTATTTATGATTTATGAGTTTTACCGTTCCATTTATCGTACATGTAAAATAACATGAGCTGAAATGAAATTGTAAATAAGTTATTTCATTTTCATGCAATTCATTAACGATTTTTTGGTAACCAGTATTTTGCATTCCACTCATTTTAATAATTGTCTCATCAGGACATTCGTAATCCTATATAATTTGACCGATTATACGTCTTATATTCGGGCAGACATACATTAAAACGTGGATCTTATGCACATTAGCCAAACAAATTTCCTTTCTATATCCCACAAATTTCCTCTGTTTACTTCACATGTAGTGGTAGCAATCCGAGATTTCTTTAGTTTTCTTTCCGACTTATCTGCCCCCCCCAGCCTCTATTCTCTCTCCTTTTTTTTTATATCTCTGACTCGTCTCAACTTCAGCTGCGAATCAGCGATTTACTTTGCATTCACCGAGCTACATTCGGAAATCGAACTGTCTTCCTTCATCCTCCCCATCCGCCTCTAAAATGCCGCCAGTAGCGGGTAAAAATTATGCATTTTGAGTAGGAAATCCGCTCGACTATAAAATTGAACCAAAAACGGAATTCCACTATATTCTAAACCCTTTCTGTTATATTCTAGCGACTGATGAAATGTCAAGCATTTTAGTTTAAATTTAAATTGTACTTTAATAAACGTCTAGTGCTTTTTCTTTAATTTTTGCCTTTTTCTTTTTATTGTTACTTTTTACAATCAGGAAAGCTTGGAGGAAAACGTAGCTGTGAATAGTACATTAAAGTCGAGGAGGAAACGAGCACGAGAAGATAAAAAAGGATGTACTTGCGTGTATGCATAGTTTGTCGTGTACGAAAGTATTATAAAACGAGAAAATACTTCGTTATAAAATTGAGAGAACAGGGCATAGCGTATTTTTCTCAAGGGTCCTTGAAAAATTTTCCAAGTTTAAAACTTTGATTTACGTTCCGTTACGCCAGTTTAAATCTTCTTCGTTCAATTGCCATTTCGCATAATGAATTGCAACTGCACATTTCGATAACTGCACATTTCAACGTACAATCATAGAGAGCAGAGTTACTATGTTCATTTTAGTGCCATCGGTTGGCCATCGTTTGATAAAACGAATCTTGTGATTTTGCTTCACCCATCATATATTAAAATTATAAACTTGTATTGGCCTGAGCTTGTATGAATGATTGACTTTTACGTTTTGTCAGGAGTTTGTAGAATGTTTTCGGATGAACATGACAAAGAAAACGGTATAAATGTAGGAACATTAATAAAGTAGTAATTTATTTTATATAAACAGCAATAGTATTTTCAGAAATCTTCCATTTGTGTCTGGATTGTAGAACTGATGTTATGCATTTGTCCGGAATGGGAATATTTTAGTAAACAAATTGCGACAGTCAACTGAATTTGATACCTTACATGCATTTATAGGGTTTATATGTTATTTACAATTGAATGAATTAGTTGTTATAGGAGAATATTAAAAAATTTATATTATATATCTCTGAAATTATTGATTTTAGAGACAAAGCTGACTGCTTTATAATACTATTGTAGAATAAATAAAAGTGTGTCATAATCGAATAATTTAATTATAAATTGATCATCATTTAATGGAAAAGTTTGCCTAAGCAAATAACTATAAACATATACATAATATACAAATAATTATCTAATAATTCATTTACGAAAATTTAACAATATACGTATGAATAATCTGGTAAGATTGTTGAGAGGAAACAATAATGTATAAAGAAAATAATGTATTATAGATGTCAAGAATTATGGTAAATTTCTAGATTAAAAACTATTACATTAGTATTAATATTGTTAAAATATTCATAATTTTAATGTTTTACAAAAATTTTTTTGTTTAACATTTTCTGTTACTCTTTCATTGTGTTGAATTGTATGAAAGTTTAATTTATGCAACGCCATATTTCAAATAAAGGTTTTTTCAATACTGAAAATTATTAATTATTATATATTACTTATGAGTTAATGATACTCTGCCAAAATAATACTGTTAATTGCTAAGTTGATTGAAATTATTGATTATTATCAATTTTTTTACTAATTTCATTACTAATGAAATGAGGTTATGCAAATATTTAAAACAATTTTTTTAATTTTACTGTTAAACTATTTTAATTTTGAATATCTGTAAATACTATACGTGTTTATTATAGACTCATTTATTATTTGTAAATAAGAAAATAAAATATAATAGATTTAATTGTTTCTGATGAGTAGCTTTAATCATATAATGATTAAATTTTTTTATATTATTTATATTTTGACATAAATATTAGTATTAAGTAGAAAATGTTTGTTTGCTTCTAATATGACATAAGTTAAAGCAATTGTAGATAAATAAGATTTTTTTAGTAAAAATAAATCTTGGAAAAATATCTGGAAAAATATAAATTATAATATCATTTGTAATTAATTAATTAATGTAGTTAAAAATATAGTTAATGATATCGAGCAATCAATTTATTAATTTGAACCTTTCATTTACACATGAAATATTCCCAATATAATTAGTGCAATGAGGTAATAGAATTTGATAATGTAATTAAATATACCATATGACATTGATTGAGCAGAATTGATTTTAGTTCAAGAATATTAGATTACTTGTTTTTGGTGGTCATTCGCTTTTGTACAAAATGAAGTTGCACTTATGTTAATGTTTTTCAGGGAAAACGAAAGTGCGCATTTCATTACTATTTTAGTCCTATGAATTTTTTCATAAATATCATTTAATCTGCTCTTCAATTTATCGTGTATTTTAATGTTTACAAATGTATACGTATCTGGTATATACGTATGTAGATTTCTCTCTCTCTCTCTCTCTCTCTCCTGTGTGTGTTTGTATCTGTATATACGTATGTAGATTAAGGATAAATTTTGATTAGGTGTATGCATATTCGAGTGTTGACACGAATGTTAGCGAGCTCGCCTTTGGATAAACAAACTGCGGTCGAAGTTAAAGCCGCTTAAAGCGAAGTTCCTTCAGTTCTACCCTCTGCACTTTGTTCCGATTGCATAATTCTGCTTTCCTCTCTTTATATATCTTAGGCGGGAGAATCTGATTTTGAATATGATTTGTGAATATGATTTTTGAAATATGATTTTTGAAATATGATTTTTGAAATATGAGTTTTCTCCCTTCCTTCACATTGTTTCTCTCTTTAAATTTCCTCTTCTTATATATTCTTCCATCCCCCCCCCCCCCACTTACAGCAGAATATTGTTGTACATTTAAATGATATCTCAACTCAGACTTGTCATGTAATTTTCAAACCCTTTATAATATTCGAATGTTCCACATATTGTATTTGCCCTGAGTGTTTGATAGAATACATTTGTACTACTTTAAAGTTTCTTCAATATTTACTTTCGTAAGACTTCGATTTCGCTTTAAAGTAAAACCAATCTGTAAATATGAATTTTAAGTACTTGGGCGTCTATGAGAGGTGAGTTTAAACAGATTTAAACTTAGCTCGAAAGTACGTCATTAATAATGACGAATATGGATAATGATATGATTGACAAAATTCATTAAAGATGAATGAATTATTCATTTAGTATGAATAAATTCTAGTACAACACAATGAAAAATAATATTAAAGTTTCATCATTTATTTGACGGGTAATCGGATAAAAATATCCATAATCTTAATAAACGCATATATTCAATATGTCGTGATGTCGAGCACAAGCATACTTTGGCAGGACTGGAATTCAGTGATGTTGGCGAAGAGCGTTATGCCGGGAGCAAAAGATCCCTAGTGAATTACGCATAAATTTCATTAGCGAACATTCATCAACTTTCTCTGTGCTTTCACACCATCTCTCTCGTGTATGTCGTAGACTCGGTACAGTAGTGGAGCGCGTGCCACAAGATTTTAGATTCGCGGCAACTTTCCAATTAACGTTAGACCAGGACGAATCGGCCTTGGGATTATGCGCGATATGTTTTGTGGTTACATTAGACCGACGAATTACTTATTGATCGAAGAATTTGTCCTTATTATTTAGTAACAAAGAATAATTTCATAAAGGGTTTCAGATTGCTTTTATCGTTATTAGTGCAACTTGTAAGAATAAGTTC